CTGGTGCACTGGGAAGACCCAGAGGGATTGGGTGGAGAGGGAGGTGGAAGGGGGGATCGGGATGGGGAATACATGTATATCCATGGCTGAGTCATGTCAATGTATGACAAACACCACTACAATATTGTGAAGTAATTAGCCTCCAACTAATTAAAAAATTAATTAATTAATTTAAAAAATAAAATAAAAAATAAAAAGAATGTGTTTGAATCAGTCCTAATGAGGTGGATGAAAGTGGAGCCTATTATACAGAGTGAAGTAAGTCAGAAAGAAAAACACCAATACAGTATATTAACGCATATATATGGAATTTAGAAAGATGGTAATGATGACCCTATGTGCAAGACAGCAAGAGAGACACAGATGTAAAGAACAGACTGTTGGACTCTGTGGGAGAAGGCGAGGGTGGAATGATTTGAGAGAATAGCATTGAAACATGTATATTAACGTATGTGAAATAGATCACCAGTCCAGGTTCAATGCATGAGACAGGGTGTTCAGAGTTGGTGCACTGGGATGACCCTGAGAGATGAGATGGAGAAGGAGGTGGGAGGGAGGGTCAGGATGGGGAACACATGTACACCCATGGCTGATTCATGTGAATGTATGGCAAAACCACCACAATATTATAAAGTAATTAGCCTCCAATTAAAATAAAAATTAAAAAAATTAAAAAAGAAGTTGTGGTACATAGACACAATGGAATATTACTCAGCCATAAAAAGGAATGCATTTGAGTCAGTTCTAATGAGGTGGATAAACCTAGAACCTATTAAACAGAGTGAAGTAAGTCAGAAAGAGAAAGATAAATATCGTATTCTGATGCATATATACAGAATCTATAAAAATGGTACTGAAGAATTTATTTACAGGGCAGCAATGGAGAAACAGACATACAGAATAGACTTATGGACATGGGGAGATGGGAGGAGAGGGTGAGATGTATGGAAAGAGTAACATGGAAACTTACATTACCATAAGTAAAATAGACAGCCAACAGGAATTTGCTGTATAGCTCAGGAAACTCAAAACAGGTATTCTGGATCAACCTAGAGGGGTGGGATGGGGAGGGAGATGGGAGGGAGCTTCAGAACAGAGGGGATATGTGTATACCTATGGCTGATTCATGCTGAGGTTTGACAGAAAAACAACAAAATTCTGTAAAGCAGTTATCCTTCAATAAAAAAATAAACTTAAAAAAAAAAAAAACTTCTGGTTACTTAGCTCCAAAAAAGAATTAAAAATTAAATGAGATTGCAAGCATGAATATGCCTGAAAACACAAATCAGATTCATTTATGGACCAAACTATACTCAAATGAAAACAATAATGAATTTGCTCAGACAGGGAATTTGTTTATTAAAGATGAACATCTGTGAAATTCTAGGCAGCAGAGGTTACATATATTACAGGTATTAATTTTGGTAAACACAGAAGACACCTTTAACCCTCCAAAAAGATGTAATGCAGAAAACAATCTACCTTAGATTTTCTTCAACATTTACTATTCCAGTGAACTGTTGTGGAAAATCATGTTAATTTCCCAAAGGCCTTTGGACAGATTTCAAAAATTGGAATGTTCAAATGCAAGTGATGGCCAATTACTAAAAATTAATGACTCCTCATGCTGAATAATGCATGCACTTGGCAGGAGGACTTTAACAATAACGCAGTGTTGTCAGTTTTGAATGCAGTCTGGCCTTACCTGCTGGGTACACGCAGGCAACCAAATTTAAAAGCAACCCTCTCCACCCTGACAAGGTGCAGGTTAGTATGTTTAGTGAAGTCTTTAGTGCAGGAGAGATAAGCTGTTTATTTTATGCTTAATATTACACTATATGGAGGCACTTTAATTAATTTAACCATTGATGGATATTTCCCACTACTAAAAACAACAATGCTTTTGACCATATACATTTAGCCTTACATTCTGGTGCTTTAATTTCTAGGGGAGCGATTACAAGAAGAGGGTTAGCTGAGCCAAAGAATATTTATAAATATTCTTAATTTTAGCAGAAACTTGCATGTATTTTTTAAATTAGGACTACAATGAGGAATGACATTTTAAAAATGCAATCACCTAACTACAAGTCAACCATCTCACTAGTCTCACTTCAAATGCTAAGTATGCTTAAAAACTGCTTTAAATAGAGAATTGGGTTCTTAACCTCTCATCTGCAGCACTTCTGATGTTGAAAATTCCGTGGTTTATTGTTTCAGAGCATCTTGTATCAGTATTTTCAGTTTGGTATTCCCTCCAGTACTAGAAAGAAGCAGTGGTTTAAATTGACTCTGTGCCACTGTCTGAATCCTGAGTGCCACTTTTATCTGTCTTTCCTTGGTCCCTTTTTGCAAGGAGAGCTTGGTTGTCTGCACTCTTTGAAAGTATTTTTATTGGTATCTTTCCCTCATTCTTTTTCTCCTTCTAATCTTAAAGATTCCTTTATTTGCTGTTCTTCAAATTCAAAAATAACAAATGCTTGTTATGACCAGTGAAACAATGCAAACAATGCAATTGAAGAATGTATAAAAACAAGGCTAATCATTCACACCTCGACCTCCTGATGTGATCAGTATTAACAGGCTGCTGAGCCTTCCACAATTCCCTTTGCTCATTACCAACAGATCAAACATATGTGCACATATATAAAATTGTTTGTTTTCTGCAAAGCATAATCACACCATACACATTATTCTGCAACTTGTTTCACTTAACTAAACGTGCGTGTGTGTGTGTGTGTGTGTGTGTGTGTGTGTGTGTGTGTGTATAGATATAGGTCATCGCTGGTGGCTCAGTGGGTAAAGAGTCTGGTGCACTGGGAAGACCCAGAGGGATAGGGTGGAGAGGGAGGTGGGAGGGGGGACCGGGATGGGGAATACATGTAAATCCATGGCTAATTCATTTCAATGTATGACAAAAACCACTGCAATGTAAAAATAAATAAATAAATAAAATAACAAGGGAAAAAAAAAAAGAGTCTGCCTGCAATGCATGAGACCAAGGTTCAATCCCTGAGTTGGGAAGATCCCCTGAAGAAAGAAATGGCAACCCACTCCAATAGTCTTGCCTGAGAATTCCATGGACAGAGGAGCCTGGTGGGCTACAGTCCATGGGGTTGCAGAGTCTGACATATACACACCTCACACACATACACATAAGGTGGTTGCGGTTTAGTCAGTACACATGTATTAATACATATGTGACAATAGACAATGTATGTCATTTAACAAAATATAGTGGAGATACTCTGCAGTCTTAAGCTCTTTTCCAGTTCTAAAATTTATTTTTGTATTCCTTTGGAGAACGTAGCACCTTGTATTTGTAATGGGTTATGTAATGTCTTTCTTCCCATCTATACTGAGAGTTCCTTAAAGGCAGGGGGCTAATTTTGTTCACCACCGTATCTCCAGATTTTAGGGTAGTGCTTCCAGGATAGTGCGTGCCTAAAATCTATTTGTTCATTATTTCAGTGCTTTCTGAAACTTTCAGTCCACTTAAACTGGGTCACTGCCAATACTCAAATATACATGTCTTTAGGAACTCAGGGCTGGGTAAATCACCACTCAAAGTTATTTGGATGGAACCTGGTGACAATACATTTAAAAAGTGTGCAATATTTTGTGCTTTTTAGCAAAAACCCCTTTATGTCACAAAAATGAATTTTAAGACAGCGCACATGTTTAGCAGAAAGCGAGCTCTACACTTGTAATTAGACCTGAGTTCTAGTTCCTCTTCTGCCGTTAATTACTCTGTGATCTTTAGAAAGTTCCTTACCCTTCCTTTCCGGTCCTGGTTCCCCATCTGTTGTTCTAACATTCATTAATTCCACAAATATATACTGCCCACGGCGTGCTGGTACTAAGGCTAGTGATACAGGGGTGAGTAGCGTAACAGCTAACAGCTAATGAATGCTGATTCTAGGCTTGGTCTTTTGCTAATAAAGAGTCAACGGCACTATCTCATTTAATCTTCTACAAGATAGCACTACCGTGATACTTTCTGTACTTTACAGAGGGGGAAACTGAGGCATAGCGACGTGAAGTAACCTCCCCAGCAAACAAATGACGCGGTGAAGACAGCACTGGATTCCGGACCGTGGGGCTTCAGATACCGTTCCAATAACCTTAGCGACTCCCTGCCCTCATAATTTGGTGACTGCTTCAGTGGTCTGCATTTAAACTCAGCCCAGGGGTACTGGATGGAGCACCCTCTTGGTGCAACGTCTCAAGAGTTCGTCAGAGAAACCAATGAGAGACCTGACACGAGCTCGGTCAGACGGAACGCTCTACCTCGCTCTCGCAGTTTCCACGCCCGGAAGGTGCGATGGTGGGAGGTGTCGGCGGGTCGTACGCACGCACGCACGCCTCTCTGGGCGTCCCGTTTGGTCTGGGCCGGCGTGCGGGTCACGCCAACCCGACGCGCTTCTCGGAACTCGGCAGGGGGCGGGGAGAAAAGGCGAGCTGCGTGCGCGCCGGCCCTTCTGTCGTCGGTGCGACGGGAGGCTCCGCCCGGCCGAGGGCTTCTTTGCCCCGCCCCCTTGCCGCGCCGTCGTGGCGGCCACTTCCTGGCCCTCCCCACCTTCTGCGAAACCAACGAGAGGACACCGCCTGCATCTAGAGCAGCCCGACCAGGAACGTAACCGAGTGGCGCGCGAACGTGAGAGGAAACCTGTGCGCGGCTGCGCTTTCCCGCCCCTGAGCCGTTCTAGACGCGGGTGAGTGCTGCGGCTCCGGCCCGCACCTGGAGCTGCTCGCGGAGCAGCCCCCTGAACGACCCCGCCCCTCTCCGGGGTAGGCCTGGGCCCTGGCTCACTCCCAGCATGCTCCGCGCGAGGTGCCCGGGCAGGTCCAGTGGGAGAAACCGTGAGGGGGAGAGACTGAGCGCCAGCTTTCTAGAGGCGCTCCCTCTGCCCCTCCTTGGGGTCTTGGGTTGACCATGTTCTCCCCCTCACTTCTGTTCTTCATTTCATCCTCCTCCCTTTTCCATATTCCACCGCAACCACCTTCATCTAAAGAGACTCGTTTGGAAAACCACTCTGGTGGTTTCTGCCTTGTTTGTGCCCATGTGCAGTTTTAAGTTTCCCTCCCCTCTGCATCAAATATCCTATCATGTGCATCACATATCATGTGCTACTCCTTAGGAAAATTTGTGCAAATGACTTATAAGTAGTATCCCCATCAAGAAGAATCCTGAAATCCATATGCCATCATCAAGCTAAGAAACACTAGTGAATTATCATATATTGACCAGAAATAATATGAAATGCCGAAGACCTATATAAAAGAATTCATTTTGCAGTGCATCTGAAAATTCTGCTTGTTTCCTGTCAATTCTCTTTTCCTTATTAGAGCTGTGTTTGTTGACCAAGTTCTGTGAGTGACACAGAAAAACTGTCCTCTTTCCGCACTCCCCCACTCCTGCTTAAGAATTACGTCTGTCAAGCTATTCCACACCTGGTCCTTCAAAGGTAATGGAAGTCAAAGTCCATTTCCTCTAAAACCAAGGGATGGTGTCCTTGAGGCAGTATGGTGATGTTAGGTGCAAGATCTGTTAAATTATGGTTAACAGATCTTACATGTTCATTTATAGGAAAACAGGGTTATTCAGTAACTTGTTTATTATCAATAATATGGATAGAAGCACTGTTGAGGTCATTATTCTGTACTAGAAAAAGCATTAAACTGATGTCAGAATAGCTGATTTCTAGTTCATTTCTACTACTAACTGTGACTTTGGGTCAGTTACCTAACCTCTGTGGACCCTCTGTTTCCCTATCTGTAAAATGAGAAAAGTGACATTAAGTATCTTCTAAGCCCACTTTCAACTTTAAGAGACAAGGGAAAAATCTGAGTAGCTCAGAACATTCCTTGTGGAGATGGAGAGGAGATTGGGAAATTTTCAACAGTTGTATTTAATGTTGGCTTTTCTTTTAATTTCTAATTGAAATCAAAGTGTAGACTTTTTACTTCTCCAAAGAATAAACAGATGCCTTTGAAGGAAATAAAAATGTTCATTAATGGTCCCCAGATATGCCTTATATTGACTCATTTTCTCATCCAAATAATTTAACTCTTTTCATTATGGGCTTTTATTACATCAGTTAGTTGAGATACTGTGTTGGAAATCATTTAGTCTTAGGCATAAGAGGGTAAATATTAACAAATATGGTATCAATTCCAAGAAACTTGCTTTAGATGTACTCAAAACACCTGATAGCAGCCATCGGTTAAATAAAGCATTAGATTGAGAACAAAAGCCAGCACAGATACCAGTGGTGATATAGCAATTGTAAGTGGTTTTATTTGTTCAGTTTAACATTTTCTTGTAGAAGTCCATTCTTAGCTAGAGGTATTTAAATAATATAATGCAAGCTTGTGGAACAAAATTCCATTCAAGAGAATGATGGACAGACAACCTCTGTAACATTGGTGTCTTGGGTCAGTGCTTTAATTCAGTACTTGGTTAATTAAATCCCCATAGATGAAGTGCAGAAATAGCCTCCCAGAAAATTCTATGGCTGTGAGCTTTTTCTGCAAAGTTCCAGGTTATACCTAGCAGTAATCAGATACCACTGGAAGCAAAAAATTCTTAAGATTCTCTTGTACTATTTGCAACTGATTCCATGTCAAACCTGGGAGCCTTTTTTTTTCTTAACATTAAGAGCCAAATGTAAGTATAAGGGAACTATCAAATCATTAGAATAATCCTTTTCTATTAAGTATCCTAAAGTTCTTTTTCTCCTTTATAGGAAAAATGCTTTCTGAAAGCAGTTCATTTTTAAAGGGTGTAATGCTTGGAAGCATTTTCTGTGCCTTGATCACTATGTTAGGACACATTAGGATTGGTCATGGAAATAGAATGCACCACCATGAGCATCATCATCTCCAAGCGCCTAATAAAGAAGACATCTTGAAAATTTCAGAGGATGAACGCATGGAACTCAGTAAGAGCTTTCGGGTATACTGTATCCTCCTTGTCAAACCCAAAGATGTGAGCCTCTGGGCTGCAGTGAAAGAAACATGGACCAATCACTGTGACAAAGTAGACTTCTTCAGTTCTGAAAATGTTAAAGTGTTTGAGTCAATTAACATGGAAACAAATGACATGTGGTTAATGATGAGAAAAGCTTACAAATACGCCTTTGATAAATATAGAGACCAATACAACTGGTTCTTCCTTGCACGCCCCACTACGTTTGCTATTATTGAAAACTTAAAGTACTTTTTGTTAAAAAAGGATCCATCACAACCTTTCTATCTAGGTCACACTGTAAAATCTGGAGATCTGGAGTATGTGAGCATGGAAGGAGGAATTGTCTTAAGTATAGAATCAATGAAGAGACTTAACAGCCTTCTCAGTATTCCTGAAAAGTGTCCTGAACAGGGAGGGATGATTTGGAAGATATCTGAAGATAAGCAGCTTGCGGTCTGCCTGAAATATGCCGGAGTGTTTGCAGAAAATGCAGAAGATTCTGAAGGAAAAGATATATTTAACACCAAATCTGTTGGGCTTTTTATTAAAGAGGCAATGACTAATCACCCAAACCAGGTAGTAGAAGGATGTTGTTCAGATATGGCTGTTACTTTTAATGGACTGACACCTAATCAGATGCATGTAATGATGTATGGGGTATACCGTCTTAGGGCATTTGGGCATGTTTTCAATGATGCATTGGTTTTCCTACCTCCAAATGGTTCTGACAATGACTGAGAAGTGAAATGAGAGTATGTATGTGATTGCCGTACAGGACGTGTGTTGTTATTTGTAGTAACAACTGCATATATATCCAACACAGCAGTATGTTTCTTTTTTGTTTTCTTTTTCAATTTGGTGGCACTGATTTATTCCCACATTGAAGTTTAGTAGTACATTTTAAAATAGGGTGGAATTGTTTTCTTAAAAAATGTGATAATTTCAACTGTGTTGTAAAGAAATGTCTTAAGAATAATAATTTTACAAATAAAGGATATATTTATAAGTAATATATGTGATAAATCCTAAATTATGAACATTAAAATCTGTGTGGCACATATTTTTGCTGATTGGTTACAAATTTAACATGTCTTTTTAGCTTGCTAAGATATGCAAATGAAATCTCTAGTTTCGAATCTGTGATTAAAGTAAAACTTTTAGCTATGTGTTTCTGTTACTTCTAATGTTGGTTTATGTTCTAAGCCCTCATAAGTGCCAATGGATTGGCTTTCTCAAAATACACAACCAAGCAACCAAGGGACTGTTCCCAACCCCTGTTACAGTGAAAGTTGAAATCTGTCCCTGAAAGTGAAGATTACTTACAAAGGTTAATAATTTTCCTGGGAGCTAGTTTAGTGGCATTCCTCGGCATATACAATTTCTCTATGCATATACTGAAATTGGAGTGGTGACCATAAGGAATGTAATGTCATTTAACTGCACTGCTTTCCAGTTAATCAAGCTCTTAGCTATGGCTTGAATAAAAATATACCAGTTGAGATTGATTTACTCCTGCAGAGCAAGTGAGTTCTGTGGAAATCTCCTTTGTTGTTGTTTAATCGCTAAGTTGTGACCAATTGTTCTGAGACCTCATGGACTGTAGCCTACTAAGCTCCTCTGTCCATGGGAGTTCCCAGGCAAGAATACTGGAATGGGTTGCCATTTTCTTCTCCAGGGGATCTTCCAACCCAGGGATCAAACCCAAGTTTCCTGCATTACAGGCGGATTCTTGACTGCTGAACCACCAGGGAAGCCCCTTTGTGTTTAGTCTCACAGTCGCGTCCAACTCTTTGCGACCCCATGGACTGTAGCCCACCAGGCTCCTCTATCCATGGAATTCTCCAGGCAAGAATACTGGAGTGGGTTGCCATGCCCTTCTCCAGGGAAGCCCCTTTAAATCTCCTTTAAAGAACTCCTTTTGGTAGCCTGGCAGTTTCATTTACCTGGGTTGAATCTGCCGTGGTTTTTGTTTACCTGTTCACATTTTGAGATTTTTTTTGCATGTTCTTGATTGTACCATATGTTGATTGCACCTATTTGGTGTGGAGGCCTTAACCTCACCATTCACCTCGGATTACTGTGCCATTTGCCTGATTTCAGTGGCTATCTAGAAGCTTTAAGGATGGTAGATACAATAACTTCTGTCTTCATAAATTTGTGAAATACTTGGAGGTGACTTGCCCTCTAATTGGGCCTGCACAGGCCATATTAAGTCAGATCCATAAGCCCCCACAGAGTGAAAGACCATGACATTTTAGAGATCAATTTTTCTTGTAACTGGCCTCATGATGTTAATAGTCTCCCACAGCTTTTGTAAGCCAGAAAGAGAATTTCCTTAAGAGGGCCCTGGGCTACAAATTATCAATCATCAGAGTAGTGTGTAAAACCCTTTGTTTTAATTTGTACGATCTTCCTCATTGGGGCTCTTGTTTAAGATGAAAGGTTATTTTGAAAAATAATAAAAACCCTTTTATCAAGCACCCTAATATGTGGTCTCAGATGTAATTACTACAAACCAAATCATATTTAGTGAGTACAATAATGCACAGTATTTCACTGGGTGTGACACTCAGTTTACAAGTATCACCTTGCCCCCAACACCAATATATTAAAATTTTTTTCTAGTGTATTATCACCTTCAATTACATTAGGGTATCAAAATATAGTTGAAATAAATATATTAGAGAATGCATTCTATTGTTTGATTTCCTAGTGGGTACTAAGGTAACAATTGCTTTTTAAACCAAATTGATGCTCTTGATTGTATTTTTATACGAGTATTCCTTTATAAAAGGGACTTCCCTGGTAGCTCAGCTGGTAAAGAATCCACCTGCAATGCAGGAGACCCCAGTTCAATTCCTAGGTTGGGAAGATCTGCTGGAGAAGAGATAGGCCACCCACTCCAGTATGCTTGGGCTTCCCTTGTGGCTCAGCTGGTAAAGAATCCACCTGCAATGCGGGAGACCCAAGTTCGATCCCTGGGTTGGGAAGATCCCCTGGAGAAGGGAACAGCTACCCACTCCAGTATTCTGGCCTGGAGAATTCCTTATAAAATATTAGTTGTCTTAAATAATACACTATCTCTTTGAACATATTTGTACCTAGTCTTATAGATAAAACTGGAATCAGTAACAGAAAATTGTGCTACAGAGGTCATGGTTACAGATTTGATCATCATGCATTCAATAGTCAAAAACTGTAACCCTAACTACACTCTTATTGGGAAGAGAGTTGGGAAGAATGGAGGTCTAATGAGAATTGATCATGATTGTGAATATATTTTACATATGGCTGGCTAATGCTTACTATATTGGACAACACAGGCCTAAACCAGTTCCCCAAGTGTGAGACCCACTGGCTGAATGTAAATGAGAGAAAACTAAGTTTCTTCTAAAAGTTATATTTATCTTTCTGGTTTTCTTGAATGCAGTGGAAACTGCACCTTGACTTTCACTAGGCCCCAGGCCATCTCCTTGTACAAGTTCAGTCACTAGACCTTCTTTTTCAAAACACTGGATTTGGAGCAAAATATAGATTAGATCTCTTGGCTTTTTTCTTCATGTAGCTAGAAGATTGCTGTGTATCAAATCTGATTTATAATATCCAGATTTTTCTGTAATGCATTTAAACAAACCCATCTATTGGGCTTTCTTAAAGCAGGGAACACCTGTATTAGAAAAGTTACTGAAAGCACAGTTTAGTAGTGATGTACCACTAATTTTCCACTCGTTAAAAATATTCTGTTCCTTTTAGTGCCAGCTCACTTGGATTGATGCATTCACTGCATGTCTCAGTGGTTATGTGAAGAGCCTGTTTGTAAAAATTTAGCTTTTTTTTTTGGCATAGAAAAAAAATCAGAAATTTTTGCCAACCTTCCCGCAAAGGAGTCCCCAAAGTCTAATGAAAGAAAAATAACTCAATTCCAATATAATCAAAGGTAAAATACTGTATTCAAAGGACAATGGAGGAAATTACTTATTTAGAAAGTATGAAATTATGGTGTATATCTGGGGTCTCTAGCATAATAGGAAAGTCCACTTTTATTAGTGTGGAATCTACACTATACTATTCCTTGCATATACTGAGTATCCATTAGCTCAACACTAGACCTGGTTATTTTGTGGAAAGCAAAAAGGCCCAACACATGATTCATACAGGCAGTCTAAAACAATCATATCGTATAAGCTTTGCATGAGCAATAAAACAAGCCATTGTTTACTACTAGAATATGGTGGTCCTTTTTTCCTTAAAAATCATTTTGATAAGTTCCGTTTCTCTTAACCCATATTATTCCCATTTCTTTGATAGCTTTCACTGATTCTGTGCAAGGATGGCCACACTGGTTTTGCCATTGCTTTGGCAATTTAGTGAAAGACCTGGCAGGAAGAGCAGGGCCTAAAAATAAAACTAAGATTTTCTATGAATGGATGGATGGATGGGAGTGAGAAGCTGCATGTGCTCACTTGTGTCTGACTCTCTGTGACCCCATGGACTATAGCCCGCCAGGATCCTCTGTCCATGGGATTCTCCAGGCCAGAATACTTGTGTGAGTTGCCACACTGTTCAGGGATCTTTCCAACCTAGGGATTGAACCCAGGTCTCTGGTGGCTCAGCTGGTGAAGAATCCACCTGCAATGCAGGAGACCTGGGTTCGATCCCTGGGTTGGGAAGATCCCCTGGAGAAGGGAAAGGCTACCCACTCCAGTATTCTGGCCCAGAGAATTCCATGGACTGTATAGTCCATGGGGTCACAAAGAGTCAGACACCACTGAGCGACTTTTACTTCACTTCACTTCTTCATTGCAGGCAAATTCTTTACCACTGAGCCACCAGGGAAGTCCAGGAGTGAGGAAGGATGCCCTTAATTATGTGACAGGCTTACATTTGGGAAAAAAATAAAGTAAGCTGTGCTTCTAATGAATAAGTGATAAGAGACATCTACAAAGGTATTCAAAGTGTAGAATTGGGATGTTCTAATAGTCAAAACACCAGGCCCATACCATCAGGAGGAAAAAGTGGTCCTAACTTGGGGCTTCCCTGGTGGCTAAGACAGTAAAGAATCGCCTGCAATGCAGGAGACCCAGGTTTGATCCCTGGGTCAGGAAGATCCCCTGGAGAAAGAAATGGCAACCCACTCCAGTATTCTTGCCTGGAGAATTCCATGAACAGGGGAACCTGGCCAGCTACAGTCCAGTCCTAACTTGATGGAAGACTATTTTTTTTAAGTAATTTTTATTGGAGTAGAGTTGATTTACTATGTTGTGTTAGTTTCGGTGTACAGCACAGTGAGTCAGTTATACATATATCCATTCTTTTAGATTATTTTCCCACAGAGGTTATTACAGAGTATTGAGTAGAGTTCCCTGTGCTGTACAGTAGGTCCTTATTAGTGTACATAGTAGTGTGTATATGTCAGTCATAGTCCCCCACTTTATCCATCCCACTGATGGAAGCCTTTAAATACTGGCACTGAGAATCTTCTTTTCCCTATTTACCACTCTAAGGTATTCACCTCTAGAAGAAAACTTCAAGGAACACTGCCCATTCTCCATCCCAGTGCCATCCAATTGAAATGAAAGCCACATGTGTAGTTTAAAAATTTCCACTAATATTAGCCACATTTAAAAACACAGGTGAAATTACTTTTAATATTCTATTTTACTTAACCAAAATATATCCAAAATATTGTCATTTCAATGTATAAGTGACAGAAAAGTGGGATAGTTTACATTATTTTATTAAGTCTTTGAAACCCAGTGTGTATTTTACAGTTACAACACGGGTCTAACCAATTCTAGAAGTGTCAGCCAACATCCCACCCTGGGGCTGACATATGAATGGAGAAAACTTGAAGTTTCTTCTTAAAGAGCTGTTTATTTATTTATTTATTTTTTGTCTTGAATGCTATGGAAATTGCAACCTGACTTTTAGCAGGCCCCAGGCCATCTCCTTGTACCATTTCCATTACTGGATCTTCCTTCTCAGAACGAAGTATCATTGGATACTGCTTCTCAAAATTAACTCAGTAGGTCTGGAGTGAAATATAAATTAGACCCCTCAGCCTTTTCCCTTATATTGTTGCTGTTATTTAGCGGTTTCAGTCGTGTCCAACTCTTTTGCGACCCCATGGACTGTAGCCCATTAGGCTCCTTGTCCATGGGATTCTCCAGGCAAGAATACTGGAGTGGGTTGCCAAGCCCTCCTCCAGGGGAAATTCTTGACCCAGGACTGTAGCCCATGGACTGTAGCCATGTCTCCTGCTTTCAGGGAGATTCTCTTTTTTTTAAGTATGTATTTATTTATGGCTGTGCTGGGTCTTTGTTGCTGCATATGGGCTTACTCTAGTAGTGGCGAGAGAGGGCTACTCTCTAGTTGTGGTACATGGGCTTCTCATTTAGGCGGTTTCTCTTGTGGCAGAGCATGGCTCTAGGGCACCCAGGCTTAGTTGCCCTTCGGTCTGTGAGATCTCAGCTCAGGAATCAACCCATGTCCCTGCACTGTAAGG